GAAATTCCAATTGAATGTCTTGTGGGTAAAGGGTGCATATGTTTAGAGGTGGCATGAAAAGGTGTGTTAGATAAGGACCTGTCATATTGAGGGGAAGCAGAAACAAGTCTGCATTGGATGCCTCAGACATATAAGGTACTAAAGGTGAAAAAATACACAAGAATGGGGGTTGAATTGTGTTCTCCAAACGATGCTTCTGAATAGAGTTCAGATTCTAAATAATAGTTCAGAACCTAATTAACTAGTCGCAGTGGAATAAAATTAGAAGCAAATAAATAACAGCAAAATACACAAATATTTATCATGGTTCCTCTCCAACTGAGAGTAGTCCAGTCCCCTTGCAGTACAAGAGATTTATCAATATAATCAAAACATGATTACAATTGCTTATGCACTTAAGCATAAGACTTTTCTGCTCAGACCCTCAGGCTGAGACTTCCTGCCTAAACCCCTCAGGTTCAAAGACTTCACGCTTAGACCCTCAGCCCAAGACTTCCTACTTAGATTCCACGAATCTAAGACTTCATTGCTCGAGCCCTCTAGGCTCAAGACTTCTGCTCAGACCCTTAGTCCAAGAATTTCTTGCTTAATTAAAAACTGATCAAGACTTCAACGCTCTATCACATTGTAGAAGACTTACTTAGCTCAAGCTCCACAACAAGAGACTTTGATGCTCAAGCACATAGCCAGAGACTTTATTTAAACTACTAAATAACTTGTTTACCAGAATAGAGAACAAGGTGCACTTGATACATAATCAAAGATACAGGGTAATAACCATAACAAAGATTACAAAACTTAAGATTTCTAAGATATTCAATGTTTAAGAAATCTTAAGGCTTTGTAAAATTTACAACATATAACAAAATTTATGCATACTCGACTGTGTTGCTATTGTTGATCTTGTTATTCTTTCATTCTGATAGAAACGTGGAACACTTTTATCCTTCTTGGCTCTTCTTCTTAATTTTCCTTGTTCCTTATTTAAAATCCATCTTGAATCTTCAGCTACTTATATAGCAGTTTTAGTGGAATATCCATTGGAAGAGATAACTTGTACAAGTGTCTTTGTTACTCCATAGTACAAGAGATATTTAAGATAGATACACTAAAAGATCTTGATCCACTGTGAAACTTGTTTAACCATTGCCTCTTACTTGTGATTTTGTACTATAAATTCGTTGACAGTAGATATCCATAAAGCATGTCAGCTTTTCTTGAGCCTTGTGAATACAGGCACTAGATGACAAACTGATTTGACATTGTAGTTTGCTTTTTTCAGTACAAATAACTTAGCTTTATCACTGGTTCTGAACAATCACTAGAAGCTGATATATTCAATAAGTTTAAAAACAATATATTTATCTTCTGATGTTGAGTTCTTCAGCTTTAGAGTCTAAGCAAACCTATATTATCAGTCTTCACTTAAAGAATATTCTTCAGATTCTGAACCATCAGAAGTCAATAACTTAGCTTCTCTCATGTGCGCCCTTATATCAGGTTCTTAATATATTCTTCTTTAAGCTTTAGAATTTGCACACATAGAACACACATTAGATAACACAATTATTTTTTTCAATACTTTGTTATCATAAAAACCCAAAGGATATATGTCATGAACAAATCTTATTCTAACAATCTCCCCCTTTTTTATGATGACAAACATAAGTATTTAAAGAACAATGTTGGACTATTTTAATTTTCTTGGCAACGTCAGAGTCTGAGATTTGTAAGCTCTCTCTGAGTCTAATTGTCAAAGGTTAATCCCCCTAAGTTCTATATTCAAGAAAACTAAAATATGTCAATGTTGGGTTATTTTAATTTTCTTAGCAACATCAGAGTCTGAGGATTATAAGCTCCTTCTGAGTCTAATAATCCAAGGTTGAGGTTTGTAAGCCCCTCCTTAGTTCTATATAAAGGAAAACTAAAATATATTTTAATTTACTTGGCAACATCAAGATCCGAGGTTTGTAAACTCCCCTGAGTTTAATAGTCTAGAGTTTGAGGTATGTAAGTTCCACCTAAGTTCTACTATCAAGAAAACTAAAATATTTCTCCCGAGTAATAACCAAAATAAAAAATTTTTAAATAATTAAAATAAACAACTTTAAAACTGAATGGGTTCAGATTTGTTATTAAATACTTCTATATCTTTCTCCCCTTTTGTCACATAAAAAAAAAACCCAAAGAAATACATTCACAATGCAAAACAGATCATCATTATGTGATCGATTACCAAGGAAGAGAAAATAATTCAAGTAATATAGAGCATTAAAAGCTTGTAAAGTGTATTTTTAATAGTTATTGGTCATAACACTTTCAAGGATCAATAAAAGGTTTTTATTCCATCGTTTAGGTTACCCAGACTCCAATGTAAAAGCAATTGAACCATAAGTAATTTTCATCAACATCCTTTAGAGAAATCATGGAAGCAACATCTGAGAGCACCGACATTTCTATCATAACAGAAATTTCATAAAATACTGCTAGTCTGGAGACGCAAAGTCTTTAGAAACCAGCAAGTTCTGAAGCTTCTGAAACTGGATCCTCATCTACTCTACTGAATTCTTCTGAGGAGGGTTCATCATCAGTAATAATGGGACCTTCTGAAGCAGGTTCATAAACTACTATTCTAAAACCTAAGAAGAAGACAATAAAGAGGAAGAAGAAGAAGAAGAACAAAGATAGGATGACGTTTTAGATAGTCATCCCGGACTGTTAGGATGAGGATGAGCCTGACATTGATTGGGGAAACTGGAAGAGTCGTATGGCTTTAGAGGAGTTATATTAGTTTAACTTTAACATCCTTTGTCCTTTATGCAATCCTTCCTTTTTTATTAATGAAAAAATGTTTTGATCGTTATTAAATTTGCATAAGTATAATTTTTACTTTTCCCTTTGATTTTCTGGAAAATACATAAATGAAGTAAAAAGACGAACAAATGAAATAATAAAACCAACAGATAATTGTTAAGATGACATTTACAGTTTTCTTGAGAGAATCTTTATTAGGATTGTATACCAGACATCATTTTCCAAGAGACATACATTAAAAGATTGTTTTGACTAATCAATATTGAAACTCTACACACTCAAGATAACAGATGAATATTTGCTATAAAACATTCACCAAACTATCTTTCTGAATCACTTGATCTTTAGAACATCCAAAATGTATAAGCAGAAGCAAATCTGGGTTGCAAAGAGAGATTTTAAAAAAGTAGCAATATTGAATGCAACAAGTCAAACAAACGAGAAGAATGTAGCAACTGAAGCATCTTCAAGCAAGAGGATTTCTTCAGAGGCACATACATCTCCAGCAACCTTTGTTAAAAAACAAATAAGAAAGAGAACTTCTAGGTCAAGACGCAGGAATCTTCTGAGGAAGGAAGTTTTTGAGTTTGCAAAGGAAGATTGAGAAGATTATTTAAACAGTCTAGATATGCCAGATGAGCGTAGAGAATTCCTTAGAACATATCCAAATGTCTATAAAGTTTTTGATAATATATGTTAGCTTCCAATCTTTCAATGAGTATGTTGCAAGTATTTTAAATTTTAGTCCTAATTTTTTGTTCTCTAAACAACATAAAAAATTCACATATAACAGTAAGGCATACAAGAATATGAACAAGAACAATGAACAATTTTTTAAAAAACAATATTGCTTAATACAAGATGTTTAACAATTACAAGACATATATTTGCAGAAATCCAACATTATAATATCTCATAGATAGCTTCAAGTTTTTCTCTCAAAATTTTAGAAGACTCACTTTTTAAATACTTCCTAATCAAAGAATAAAACTCACAGAATATAGTCATTGAAGTTCCGGTCCGACGTCATACAAGTGAAATGACATTAGGATTTAAAAAAAATTAATTTTCATTGTTTTAGTAAATGAAAAGTTCAATGTCTAATGGAAAAAAAAAAAAAAGCTATTTAAAATGAATAAAATAATAAAGTGGGTGAAGTTTTATTAGGCTTAATTTTTTAAAATTTCAAGAAAAAAAAAAGATAAAATCAAATTAAAGAGTAAAATTTAAAGATTTTACACGATTTTATAAATTTGAAAGAGATTTAAATCGTGTAAAATCATTCCAATATACAATTTTAATTAAAAACAATTTTACATACAATTTAACACCAAATGCCAATCTGAAAACCTATAATCTAATAATTTAAATTTTACATGACAATTTTAACAACCACATTCCTATCCCTTCCACAATGCCACTTGATTCTAGCTTTTTCATGTCAAATAGGCTTATTTTGTGTTTAGGGCATTCTCAATATCAATCTTGGTTGACTTCTCTTGATTCACCAAGAAATCAGAGTATCCAGTTACATTAATTTCCAATTGGATAGAATCAAGCTTGAAAACTGATTTTGCAACTTCATTGTGAATGTTTGCCAAAAATGTTAAGGTTCCAAGTTTCTAGCTCACCTTTGAGCAACTTAAGCTTATGGCTTAACACATATGTAGAGGAACCAAAAACTTGGGTGCTTTGACATTTTTAATAAAATTGGAGCACTCTTTGTGGTGAGACCATGTTTTCAAAAATTTGAAGAAAGAAACATACTTGTTGATGGTTGTCTGGAAGTCAAATAGGATAGGGAAATGGTATGATTTGGGTGCTTCACATTACTAAGCAAGCAATTCAAAATTACACACTTTGAATTGAGCTTCATTGAATCGCATTTAAAATCACGTGAGATATGAATTGTAAATTTGTTATAACAAATAGGAATTATTAACCTTTACTGCACATACGATCATATTTACACGCATTTATTTATATACAGAAAACATCTATTAACATTTCAATGGTTTGATATTGAATAGCACATCAACAATCAACACATAATTTAAGTAACAAAGTAGAAAACAAACAGCTCGATAATCTCGCATAATTCGAAAATGAACTTATAATCTTGGAATCAGTCTTCTTATAGCTGAAATGAATGTAGGAAAATGTCCCTTGGCGCCGAATATATGCCTTCATTTTTTAACCTGAAACTTTCCATGCTAACTTAACTTATGTGTGCAAAATTTATATATGAATTTCAATTACTGAAATAATTATAAACATAAGAAGGTGTTGTTAATGTATGACATGGCAAATTTTGAAAGCGACATCAAATATATTTTCACCACTAAAAGGATGATATTTAAAGGTTTTCCTACGATAAAATTGTATCGTAAGACGTCATTGAAAAGAAAATAAAGAAGCACATAGCAGAAGATCGGAGTTCTAGTAATTAACAATATCTGACAAAAAATGTTCTATAGGTTCAAGTTCAAGAGTTCATGAAGACTTACATTGTTCTCGGAATCTGACTCTGCATCATATGGGATATGCTCCTGGGCACCAGACTTAGACTCTTGAACAAGTTTCCTGCAAGAGATAGACAACATAAAATCAGGATATACAGAAGATTGAGGAGACACAGCGAAGACAATTTGAATCAAACAATATTGACCAAAAGGTTAGTGCTTGTTTGGAAGCATAAAGGTATGGATTTTATTTTATTTTGAAGTCAGAACAAACATGATTTTGGCATGTTTGATTACATGACCTTATATTCATATTCAAGACCGTCTTTGAGGGCGTGCAAGGCGAGCTCCCGCACAGGGTCTACAATTTGTCACGGTTAAACTGTGGCTAAATAGGACTTCATAAAATATTGTCACGGTCAAATCGTGGTTAACTAGGGTCACCATTTATTTTTGTCATGGTTAAACTGCGGCTAACCTGTACAGTGCCTCCAAAAACTTCATACGACTATGTTTTGAATCAAGTTTACTTTTATAGTAACCAACACTCAATTTTAACTAACAGCATGTTTTGAATCGAAATTGAAGCTCCAAGTAGTAGCTTCTATGGTGGAGAGCGTGTCCCCGCGATTCCAAACACTCACTAAACCAAATTCATACAATATCACTCTTGGCAAAGACTTGCCCAAAAATACACTTGATTAACTATGAGGTAGTGATTATAAAAGTTCAGGGCTACCTTTCTGCTAAGATTGTTTGTTGATGAGATGAAGCTGAGCTCAAATCAGGAGCAGCAGACTCAGAAACTTCTGATCCCGAGGGTTCACCTTCACTCATTCCCTGCAAATAATAACAACAAAAAACTCCTCAATTCCATTGATCACGTGACTTAAGCTATTAAAACATAATATACCTCAAGAGTGCGAACTCACAGTAGAAGCATTTTTCATCCATCCAGGAAATTTATCGGAAAGAAGGCTGATATATTGCTCCATCGCAACCTCTGGACTCATGTTCCCCAGATTTTGCCAAGCATTCCTTGCACAACGTAATCAGTACTGTTGATCATTCATAAAAAAGCAGCTCTCAACAAAGTTAGTACGACTAGCAACAAATATATACCGTGTAACTTGTACAGCACGCCGGTATCTGTTATTTGAGCATTTGACACTTTTTTTCACTTACTGAATAATCTTTGCATCTTCGTTCTACTGATTCACTTATTACCAAGTACATATTTTGTGTATATCACTTCTTAGGGAATATCAATCAAAAAACATGAGAACAACCAAGTCACTATTTTCGTTAGCATCATAGCCTAATACCAATTCAGTTTTGTTCTATGCACTTTCTTGTAGCGATTCAAACTTATCCTCTAAGTCTTACGAACAAATTTTCATCATCTTTCTGTGCGTAAACAAAATTTGGTAGTGATTGGATTGGAGCAATTTCTACACATACAACTTACTAACAAAGGGGTCCTATAACCATTCATAAGGAAGGTCCTTCCTTAATATGACCAAACTCACACTTAATATAAAATAATAACTATCGTGTATGAAATTCGGTATAAGTTGCATGATAAAAACATGATTAAAAGGGTATTGGAAAGGCTTATTTGAGCTTATCTAATGATATAACACTTTAAGTGAATGAAAAAACTTGTAAAAATAGCTTAAAATATCTTTGTTTCCTAGTCTCAACTTATTTCTATAATTTTGATCAAGTAGCTTATTTTAGTAGATGAACTTATGCAGAACTGATTTTCATTTCCTACTCTAATCTAGAATCACCTAACACACAGTTTTCATACAAAAAGGACTCAATTAAGTTACATAAGCAACCTCATTTCCTATTCAATTGTAGAAACAAGTTATTCATTTGATAGAGACAGAGTACTATAGTAAGCTATTTTTTTTTTAAACATGGTATCTAGCATTGTGACTGACTGAGCGACCGACTAATCCAAGGGGACCAATCCACCGTCCAGTTGCGAGGGCTCCATTTAATGTCAGAGCAAATTCTATATGAACTGACCCAACACTAATCTAAAGGGACCAATCCCACTACCCACTTGCGAGGGCTCCATTTAACATCAGAGCAAAACTTTATATGAACTGACCCAACATTAATCAAAGGGGACCAATCCCACGTCCACTCGCGAGGGCTCCATTTAACGTCAGAGCAAATTCTATATGAACTGACCCAACACTAATCTAAAGGAACCAATCCCACTACCCACTTACAAGGACTCCGTTTAATGTCAGAGCAAAACTCTACATGAACTGACCCATCATTAATCAAAGGGGACCAACCCCACGTCCACTCGCGAGGGCTCCATTTAACGTTAGAGCAAAACTCTATATGAAATGGACCCCAACAAAGAAATTGTTAGCACCTGGCGGGATTCAAACCTGAGAGCACCCTCTCAGACTCAAGCATTCACAACATGCCAATGCCAATGTATACTGGGTAAAGACTTACTTTTACAAAGACATTTAACATAAATTTCACCATTTTCTTAATAATTTTCTATTATTATCCTAGTGGTGTGACAACATTGTAGTACTAACTAAATAAACAGCATTAGTATTAATATATTCAAAATTATCATAATCCAGAATCACATAACACACCAAAAGAACAAAGGATAAAATAAAACATAAATTTCAAAAAAAAGTTGATACCATTTAGCACGTGCGGAGAGTTTAAGCGGCATTGGCTGAGGTTCACGGCAAGGTCCTTCAATAGCTACTCTCTCAAGTCCATACAACTCCATCTCCAAACCATCACCGCATTTACCAATATACCCTTTCTCAGCAACAAATTCTGTAGCCGCCATAAACGTCTTCTCCACCTCACTCCTCTCAATCCCTTCCCATTCCCAATCCTCATCATCTTCCTTTTCCTCTCCTTCGTTCACCACATCAGAAACTAACTTCTCCCCGGTAGTTTCTTCCACATACTCAATTCTCTTCTCTTCAGTAGAATCTCCACTTTTCACAACGGTTTCCTCTAAATATTCAACAACGTCGGAATCGGATTCAACCTTAGCAACTCCTATATCGTGTTCAGTTTCTTCAACGTTTGACTTTGTCGGTGGGAACTCGACATCAACTCCGGAATCGGAATTCACGATAGCGTCTTCGGTTTCTAAACTAGTTGTTGTTGTTGTTGTTGATGTAACTTGAACCGGTTTAATAAAACCAACTCGGCTCTTTGTTTGAGGTGACTGAACCGCCAACCGCTGAAGAACCGGACCAACCGGTTGTTCCTGAAGACGAAGTTTTATTGTTGTGTTATTGTCGGTGGTTGCTATGGAAACAAGCTTTTCGACGATGAAGAAAATGAGAAGCCCAAGCGTTAGAGTGAATAAAAGATAAGTTGCGGTTACAAGTTCCATAATAACACGTTGTTTAGGTGAATTTGTTTGTGAAATATAAGAGGTAAAGGAAAAATGTTCTGAATTATGAAGTGAGAAGCAAGATTTAAAGAAAGGAGAGAATTTAGGATGGAAGTGATTAGAAGGAAGGAACTGTTGTAACGGAGACGAGAAAAAAGAGGAAAGGGAAGTAAAGTATATTCTCAACCATTTTTCGCTTTATGCTCTCTGCAACTGTTACGCACATTTTTATTTATTTCTTTTTAACTTTATCCGTCTTATAAAGTGTATTTTGTTTTTTTTTAATTGTTTTGTAATGTTAAGAAAATATTTATTATATTTATAGTATTAAATAACTTTTATCTATTCATCTATTTTATCAATTATAATTATTAAGAGTTCTTTAATAAATAATATTAATTTTAAGGTTAAATATGTTTTTAGTTTCTATAAATATGTTAGCATTTAAGTTTTGTTCAGTTAGAAAATTTCTTGAAACAATGGTTATCATAAAGTTTTTCATTCCTAAATATAGTTCCTCCCGTTAATTTTCACTAACGGAAGACGACGTGTCATGTCAAGTGTAAATTTTGTTTGCTTACGTGTGAATTGTAATATGCCAATTGGCCATGGTGGAATAGATGATAACGTTATGTTCATAATTGAGATAATGTAATACCAAACTGTTAAGAAGTGTGGTTGGGCCTAACTCAACTCTACAAAACCGGTTGGTAGAGTGAGGATTGCCCCACTTATAAACACATGTTCATGCCATATATTGTCCGATGTGGGACTCTTAACACACCCCCTCACGCTCAGGATTGGACAACTGAAGCGTGGGAATAAATGGTGGGTAACCCGATAGCAGAAACCATAGAAGGTGGCCCACCGGATCTTAAACGAGACTCTTGATACCATGTTATCAAACAGTCTCTTTGGAAGACTCTTTGTGAGAACATCTGCTACTTGACTTTTGGTAGGTATGTAGGACATACAAATCTCACCGCTGTCAATTTTTTCTTTGATGAAATGCTTGTCCACTTCAACATGCTTCGTCCTGTCATGTAGGACAGGATTATGGGCAATAGAAATAGCAGCCTTATTATCGCAGTAAACTTTAATTGGAGTTGGGCCAAAGAACTTCAATTCTTCCATGAACTTTTTGATCCATAATACTTCACAAAAACCATGGGCCACAGATCGGAATTCAGCTTCTGCACTGCTCCTGGCTACAACATTTTGTTTTTTGCTCCTCCATGTAACTAGATTTCCACCTACAAAAGTACAATATCCTGAGGTAGACCTTCTATCATTTATATTACCTGCCCAATCAGCATCTGTATAGGCTTCAACCTGTATATGTCCTCTATTTCTGAATATCAGCCCCTTTCCCGGAGTACCTTTCAAATATCTTAATATTCTGAAAATAGCTTCAAAGTGGGCTGCACCTGGTGCATGCATAAATTGGCTTATTACACTCACTGCAAAGGCTATATCTGGCCTTGTATGTGACAAATAAATTAGTCTTCCAGCCAATCGTTGATAACGTTCTTTATCTACTATTTCATCTTCAGCAACTGACTTTAGTTTCACATTGGGATCCATTGGTGTTTCTACTGCTTTAGACCCTGTCATCCCTGTTTCTGCAAGTAAATCGAGTATGTACTTGCGCTGGTTGAGAAAAATACCTTCTTTAGATCTTGCGAACTCCATCCCAAGAAAGTATTTTAACTTTCCAAGATCCTTGATATCGAACTCAGCCTCAAGTCTTCTCTTCAGATCACTAATTGCTTTGACGTCATCTCCTGTAATAATAATGTCATCAACATACACTATTAAGATAGCAATCTTACCTTCAGATGAGTGTTTAAAGAACATAGTGTGATCTGCTTGACTTTGGGTGAAACCGTGTCTCTTAACAACACTTCCAAATCTCTCAAACCAGGCCCTTGGCGATTGTTTCAATCCATATAGGGATTTTCTCAATCTGCATACTTTGTTTCTTCCAAGATTTTTTTCAAATCCAGGAGGTAAACTCATATATACTTCTTCATGTAATTCACCATTCAAGAAGGCATTTTTAACATCATATTGATATAGTGTCCAGTTGAAATTTACTGCAAGAGAAAGAAGAATTCTGATAGAATTGATCTTAGCAACTGGGGCAAAAGTCTCTTGGTAATCAATACCATGAGTTTGAGTAAATCCTTTTGCTACTAATCTCGCTTTGTATCTTTCCACACTTCCATCAGCCTTGCATTTCACTGTAAAGACCCACTTACACCCTACTGCCTTTTTATCTTGTGGTAGATCAGTGATACTCCAAGTGTTATTTTTGTTTAGAGCATCCATCTCTTCTTTCACTGCTAATTTCCAATTCGGATCACTTAATGCTTCCTGAATAGTTCTGGGCACAAACAAATTAGAAATCCTAGACACATATGCCTTATGGGTGTGTGATAGTTTGTCATATGACAAGTAATTAGACATAGGATGTTTAGTGCACATACGAGAACCTTTCCTCTCAGCAATTGGGACATCGAGGTCAGGAATATTTTTTCTCACAGAAATTGGAAGATTAATATCAGGAAAAGACAAATCAGATAAATCATTGGATGAGTAAGAAGGATTACCAGATGAAGAACTAGAAGACAGATTATCTGTAGGACCTTCACTTGGTAAATCAGATTGGATTTCTACTGGAGAGACAATAGGGTTTGCACCACCTTTGTGGAATTTTTTTCGAACATACACTTTAAGTTCAGGATTATCATCCTTAATCAGTGTTTCTCCCCCTGTTTCAGATTCTATTATCTTAGCATTTGGGTGATTTGTAGTCACAATATCATCTAGAGCAGGCAAAGTTTCCCAAAAATTATCTTCTTTATTATTACATTGACTCTCCCCCTGAAGAGAATTTTTAAAAAAAGGTTGATTTTCAACAAAGTGAACATCCATGCTTTCAAAAAATTTCTTTGTAACTGGGTTAAAACATTTGTATCCCTTTTTATTGGAAGCATAGCCAAGAAAAACACATTTTTCGGCTTTAGGATCCAACTTAGAACGAAAAACATTGGGGATGTAAACATAACAAAGACAACCAAAAATTTTAAGGGGAAGATCCGTAATAATACGAGATGTAGGAAAATTGTTTTGTAACACTTGTACAGGACTTTCATATTGTAACACCCGAGATGGCATTCGATTGATGAGGTGACAAGCAGTTAATAAAGCATTTCCCCAAAGATACTTAGGTACATTCATAGAAAACATAATAGCTCTAGTGACTTCGAGGAGATGTCTATTTTTTCTTTCAGCAATACCATTTTGCTGCGGAGTATCGCGACAAGTGGATTGATGAATTATCCCCTTAGTTACAAGGAATGTACTTAAATATTTGTTGAAATATTCAGTGCCATTGTCAGACCTTAGAATGCCAATCTTAGTTTGAAATTGATTGTTAATCATGTTAAAAAAATCTTGAAATCTTTGTTCAACTTCTGATTTTTTCTCCATGAGATAAACCCAACACAGCCGTGTATGATCATCAATAAATGTTACAAACCATTTTTTTCCAGACATAGTTTTAATTTTTGAAGGACCCCAAACATCACTGTGAATTAAATAAAAAGGTTTAGAAGCAAAATAGGCTTTTGATTTAAAAGACACACGATGATCTTTAGCTAAGTGACAAGCTTCACAATGAAATTGTGAGGAATTTATTTCTTTGGAAAAAATAGGAAACAAATGCTTAAGATATGAAAAACTAGGGTGACCTAATCTTTTATGCCATAACATAATTTGATCTGAAACAGGAGATGCGTTTGTACTGTTTGAACCGAAAAACGCTTTATTGCCAAACTGAATTCCATCAAGGTAGTACAATCCATTCATCTCTCTAGCAGTTCCAATCGTCTTCCCCGAGTTCTGGTCCTGAAAAACACAAGTAGAGGGACGAAAAAGAACAGAACAATTAGTGTCCTTAGACAATTTATGAACAGATAGAAGATTACAAGCGAATTTAGGAACATGTAAAACAGATTGCAAAGTGATTTGCTCTGAAATTTTTATGCTGCCTTTGCCTGCAATACTTGAATAACTACCATCAGCTATCCTAACTTTTTCAAAACCTGAACTAGGAAAATAGGTACTGAATAGATGAGAGCAATTAGTCATGTGTTCAGATGCCCCTGAATCTATTATCCAAGGGTTAGAGTGGTTGTGAGCAGATAGTGCCCAAGAATCCTTACCTGTTTGTGCCACAGTTCCAGTAGGGATATTAAGAGATGAATTGGACTTTAGAAACTTAAGAAGGTTATCCATTTGCTCCTTCGTACATGGAGACGAATCAGCCTCATTGGCCATAGGCATAGGACGATCACCAAACTTACCAGCCTTGCCATGATTTGGTCGCCCATGTAGTTTGTAGCAAGTTTCCCGAGTGTGGCGATTGCGCCCACAGTAATCGCAAAATAAATGAGTCTTGTCTCCACCTCGTTGATTATGAAGTGGTTTACGATTGACATGGGGAATTGCCAAGGCAGATCCTTCAACTGGTGGAGGGACAGCTGCTGTATTTTTTCCAAGCATCACTTGCCGACGACTCTCTTCACGACGTACTTCTGAAAAGACTTCACCAATTGGAGGGATAGGATTTCTGCCTAGAATTCGGCCACGAACCTCATCAAAATCAACATTTAGACCCGCAAGGAACTTGAAAACACGACTAACATCCACCATCTTCTTGTAATGTTTGCTATCGGCAGGTGATTTCCACTCATACTCATTGAAAAGGTCCAAATCTTGCCAAATACGTTTGAGACAATTGAAGTATTTGGTGACTGAATCTTCACCTTGCCGAATTTCTCCCAATTTGAGAGTTAATTCGTAGATTTGGGATTGATTTTCCAAATCAGAGTACATTTGGGAGACACCTTCCCAAAGTTCTTTTGCAGTATCATAACAGAGATAATTTGCACCTATCTCTTCATCCATGGAGTTGACTAACCATGTCATGACCA